ATAGGATAGCTGCTTATTTCCTTCACATCTGAAGGGAGGGTGTTCCACATGGTGGGTGCCACTACTGAGAAGACCCTCTGTCTGGTTCCCTGTAACCTCACTTCTCACAATGAGGGAACCGCCAGAAGGCCCTCGGCACTGGATCTCAGTGTCCAGGCTGAACGATGGGGGTGGAGACGCTCCTTCAGCTATACAGGACCAAGGCTGCTTAGGGCTTTAAAGGTCAGCACCAACACTTTGAATGGTGCTCGGAAACATACTGGGAGCCAATGCAGATCTCTCAGGTGTAGAGGTGGCATAGCTGGTACCAAGGAGGAGGCAGTTCCAGCCTCTAAGAAATGTGCCACAGCCATTGCTATCACCATGGCAGCAGCAGCTGGGAGTGAAACATTCATTGGTAGCCAGGTTTGCTGTCCCTGTGGATCTTGCTGCGTGAGGCAGTCGCCTCACCTTGCCTCATGGGTGGTCCGGCCCAGCTGGGAACTGTAATTTGTTAAGGGTGCTGGGAGTTGTTAGGAAACTCCCTCTTCCCCTTACAGAGCTACATTATTGGAGTAGTTTAGAGTTATCTTGACCATGCACAGCCTGCCATTTCAAGGACTGGTGCTTGTTGACATCTCTTTGGAACCATTGATGACATATTGTACATTATAGGAAGGTGAGGCTTTCTCCCCCACCCCTAGTATAACTTTAACCAAAGGAAAACCACCTCTTGACTTATAAACATGTGAAGCACATGGCTACTGCAATGTAAATAAATGCAGCCTATGGTGGGCTGTGTAGATTTCAAGTCAACACTGTGTAAAAAATCTAGGCCCAGGACTCGCACAGAGATCCTTAATGTGAGAAAATGGGGGTGTTGCAGTCCTTTCCTAGTCTTTATCTGTGAAACGTTGGCGGGCATGAAAAAAACTGAGAGACCCGATTTCCTTCTGCACAGAGCCAGGTTTCGTGTAACATCTTGTCTGGTTTCAGACGTCAGCACCCAGACTAGCCCTGTGAACCGTGCCACAGTTGCAAAGGAGAACAATGAGGGGATCTCCGTGACATGCTCCAATATTGTGCTAGGGCATAATGGTTCATTGATCAAACTCATTGATCAAACGCATCTCCCCACCCTTACACAGCCAGCCTCACGTTTCCACCAGCAATCGGAGTCATCAGATGATGCTCGTTGACCTAAGTGCCTGTAACTGAAGCTGTTTCTGGAGCTGTGATGGCTTCACTTAGGGGAGAGTGAGCAAGGCTACCTAGGCTCTTTGTATGCAAAAATGCATTAGTTCCCAGACTGGCTGAGCCCATAAATGGAGGTGGCATTTTCAAAGGTCAGAGAGAGCTTAGCAAACAAAAGCATCTCTCGGGGGGGGGGGGGGGGGACAGGAAGAGAACAAAAATAGCTCTGGAATTTTAGGCGGCTGCGCGTCAAGCCAGCAATGACGTTTGACAACAGCTCTCTTGGCAGACAGCAGAGGGATCAAGACTGCTCAGGTGAGATTCCATTTCACTGCATGAAGAACCCTTGGACTCCATCCTTGGAAATGTTATTTAAGAAGGCCCGGGTGGAATTTACAAAGTCATTAGGTAACCCTTCTGCCTGTTTACTATGCAAACAATTTTGGCTCAGCCTTTTTCTCTTGTGGAGCAAAATACACGCAACTACCAGGTATCACCAAAAGTCGATTGGTGGAAGTGACCCACCTTATTAATTGTGTAGAATGCCCAGCATTAAAAATGATTATAGAAAGCTTAGAATTTGGAGAGCGGTTTAAGGGATTAATAAATCAATTATATTTGAGGAACAAGGGATATGTCACAGTGAATGATGGTATAACAGAACAAATGACACTAGCCCGGGGCACAAGACAAGGATGCCCCCTTTCCCCAATCTTATTTGTATTGGAACACTGGCCAATGTAATTAGAGAAGATGGAAATATAAAAGGAATAAGCAATAAAGGAAAAGAGAAAATAAGCTTATTTGCAGATGACACCTTGCTAACAATTGGAAATCCATTGGGAAATATGCAGGTAATAGAGGCACACTGGGAAACAATTGGAGATATCAGGGTTGCAAATTAATTGGTCCAAATCTTATTAAAGCCACAATATTAAATCAATGAATCGGTTCGATGAAGTAACCCAAATATTGAATAGATTACAAAGGACATTTTAAGATAACTTCTCTGTCCTCCAAAAAATGTAACCCTCTTTTAATATTAGATTAACCCCACCTTTCCCCATACTTGGGTGTTATATCAGGCCCTGGATGGGGAGCAGGGAATCCAGATGTTCAGGTGCACCCACATACTGTACCACAATACCAGCCAACATGAGAATATGTCATGGAGGAGCTACATCAGTCCAGCCTAATCCTGCTTCCCCATTGGTCTTCATGCCCTGTCACTCACTCATCAGGTCAAGTAGGATTTCCCCATCCAGATTAGCCAAAGGTTGTGCTTCCCCCCCCCCATGTGTCATGAAGGGGAAACTGGCAATTTGTGCCTGGGGGGTGTTGGTAGGATGGCCGGTTTTACATTGCCAAAAAAACATGGTTTCCATCAGCAAAAAGTGGGGGCACCAATTTGCATAAAATTTGCATAAACGCTCTAGGTGCAAAGCTGGTCCAGTGAGTGGGGAGATGGGATCTAGCCTGGGGAGAGTCCTAGGGGCCAGACAGAGGGGCCTGGGGGCCATATTCAGACCCCAGGCCTGAAGTAACCCTCCCCTCTATAATGGGATAGTTTTATCACACTGTTTTATTGAACTGATTGTAACAATACTTTGAGACCTGCTGTTAGGGTATGCTTCATGGCTGAAACAACAAAGTGAAAGTGAACTGAATCCCGGTCTGCGTCGGTTCAGCTCCCTTAATCCCAGTGAAGGTATATATTTCCTCTAATCTACTAACCCATTGCTTTCCATCACCCCATGTCATGATTATACAGAAATCCCTTGCCTGTAGCCTCGATTTGCATCACCCCAGAGGAGGACCCCTCAGTACAAGGAGTTACTCTTTAATTATATCACAAATGTCATCGTGGCTGTGCCATGCGGTAGGAAAGACAGGTTCCTGCAAGTTGCCTTCTAATTACTATCCTTCAAGTTAGAGAGTAATCCCAGGGTGAATTACTGCATAATTTGTAGCCTGTAGTGCAAATAGTGCCATCCGACTTCAGTTGGGGAGGCATAGTTTATTCTTGTCCCATGGCTGTTCGCAGGCAACATTTATTAAATATGATGTGCACATCAAGGAAGAAACAATGTCCTAAAGCTGGAAACAATCTTGCAAAAGAGCTGGAGCAAGAAGCTGGTAACTTGCTAATTGTTGCAAGTACTGAATAATGCACAACAATTTTTTTTGGGGGGAGAGGTTATTTTTGAATACAAAATAACCTTTGCAGAAAATAACTTTAACCACAACACCATGCATTTTAAGTACTATTATGCCACTTTAACAGCCATGGCTTCCCCCAAAGAATTCTGGGAACTGTAGTTTGTTAAGCATGTTGATATTTGCTGGGAGACTCATAGTCCCCTCTCAGAGCCACAGTTCCCCAGGGTCGTTTATCAAACCAATCCCTTTTCCTAGGGAACTCTAGACATTGTAGCTCATTGAGGGGAACTGGGGTCTCCTAACAATGATCAGCACCCCTAACAAACTACAGTCACCAGGACTGATTGGCAGAAGTCACGACTCTTAAAGTGGTGCAATACTGCTTTAAATGTGTGGTGCAGATGCGACTTTTATCCCAGTTTGTGCTCTCCACAATATAGACCATTAATTTACATAAGAAAACCCTCTGCATCTGTTTCAGAGTAATTTCTGCCACTCATCAACATGATGTTGACATGGGGAATAGCATATCGCTATGAGTTTGTGGGTGCCTTGGCTCCCCTGAATTCTTGGGTCTAATGGGTGCTGGCTCTAGTAGATGTTGGAGTTTAATCTATGCTTGGAGAATTACGATGGGCTGCCAGGCGTTGAATTTAGCATTGTCAAAATAGAGGCCAGCCTGACAACAGGCACTAAGTATGAGTCAATAAGGAGAACAGAGACAAGAGGGGATAAGCCATCAGCAAAGCTCAGGTTATGTACCAGCCAGCAAATGGGTGGAGCCTCACCCTGGGCTCTGGGTAGTTAGCAGAAGGCAATGCTAGAGTTTTTAGGAGAGGGTTCAAGATTGCACTTGGGAATGATGTAAAATGAAGGAAAGATTTGCAAGCTGAAGGCAGAGGGGAGGGAGTCAGAGCACAATGTGGGCTGGCAGTTTAAATCCAAGGCACCAGCAATGGGAGAAACAGGACCATCTTGGAATGTAATGCTAGGAACCCCTCCATCGTAGGCTCAGGTTGTATATATATGTAAATAAGCCATATATCATAAAGACACCCAGTCTTTACTGTTGTTGTCCAAAAGCAAACACAGACTCTGCGTAAGTGCATGGGACACCCTGGAATCTTGCATTCTTGTGGAGATTGAGAATGGGGTGTAACAATATAAAATGAGAAGTACCTTTGACTGATTCTTCTGAAGAGCTCGCTAAACATGTATAATGAATATTTCTGATGGGTTGATGAGTCAGAAACTGCTGAATATTCATGTGTTGTGTTATGGATTTTTGAAGCTGTCCTACACTAAATTAAACTACTGCCAGGGCCATCCCAGCGACACAGTGGAGAAGAAATGGTGAGGGGCAGTTAATTGCCCCCCCCCCCCGTCTGGACTGATTCTTCAAGAGGCTTCCACCAACAGGGTTCAAAATATATGCTTGAAAGGGGGGAAATAGTGGGGATTTGTAGCAGGGAAATGGTGGCTTGGGAAAGGGTAAAGCTTCTCATTGTCCTCCACTCTCAATCAGGATGTAGGATCTGAAGGCAACTGGTAACACCCCAGCAGGGTTAGTCTGTGATCCTGCCGCTGGGCTTCCCATTCTCTGGGCCAAGGAGATTCTTTTTAAATTTGAGAATGATGCTGTGTCAGGGACATTGAAGGGAATAGTTGCAGCTCAGTGGTAGAACATCTGCTTTGCATGTAGAAGATCTCAGGTTCAATCCCTGCCAATCAGCGTAAACCAGTGGTGGAGGGTGCCCATTAGGTGGAGCCAGGTCCAATGGCAGGCAGAGCCAACTCATTCTAGTTTTTTCCCTATCTTCCTGCCTACTGAGTTTTGCAAGGTACACTGAGGCTAAGGAGGAGGAAGCTGATGGACAGTGCCACCTCCTGGTCTATGTGTAAATAAGAAGGCAGGCAGGTAGGACTGGCTGAGAGCAGATGGAGGTTGGTGGGGCAGTGGACAAGCCTCCATGGCTGAAAACTGAGCTAGATGAAACCTTGGCCTGGTTCAGTATAAGGTGGCTTCCTGTGTTCCTATGAAATTTATATGGTGGATTCCATCCATCTGACACGGATTCTGAACACTGATGCTGCCCATTGATGCCACCATCACCAGGTAAGCCCTCTGAGATAGGAAGAAGGTCAGACTAGGAGTGATGGGGGGAACTTGTGGCCTCCTTGATGTTGTTGGTCTCTATCTCCCATCAACTCCAGTCAGCATGGCCAATGGTGAGGGCTGATGGGAGTTGTCGTCTTACAAGGTCTGGAAGTCCATCCCTGCAGCTGAGGGATCTATATTGGGGTTCCCCCCAAACCTGCAGGTGGCTCTGATTAATCTTCCCCTACCGAATTGATTTTTCCAGATAGAAATGTGTCGTTGGGCTCTAATTTCCAAAAACATGCATTTGATGTAGTGTGTACTTTGGCCCTTAGACTGTATTATTCTCCATCTGACTCAGTCTTGGCAAGGAAATATCTGCAAACAATTTGTCATAATTCCTATGAAGTCATCTGTTCATTTGGGGGAGGGGCTTCATAAAGGACAGAGATCACCTTTCTTCTTTCAATTCCTCCCTGATCCATTGCCCCAAAAATGCCCTGGGGACAGGGGCTAATAATACCACCAAACTTTTATGGCTCCTGTTGCTGTCAGATAATTGTATGGTTGCCATCAGGCATCCCTTATACCGGGTAGCTGTTTTAATGATGGAACACCCCTTCGGATAAATAAAAGCAATATATCTCTTTTATTGCAAGGGAGGGAAATAGTTAGCTTGCCCAAATTACAGCATCGGCAAACAGAAAGATGACGAACTGACTGGCCCAATTGCATATGACATCACCTGCCGCAGAATCGATTGGCTGATGCTGACAATAGGAGTCTTAGATCTTCCATTACTGCTGGTGGAATTTTTATGGGGCTCCGGAATAGGTTGATGACTACATCAGGTATATATGTCTGCATAATGAGCTACTCCCTGTATAGATGTGGGGAAAGTGATCTCAGGAAGGTCTTTTTGGGGAGGGACCATTGCTCAGTGGTAGAGTTCATGCTTTGCGTATAAAATATAGGAAAATAGGATTGTTACCCTTGGTCCATCTAGCTTAAGGTTACCAGATGTCCCTATTTCCCAGGGACAGACCCCGGATTTACAAATCAGCCCCCATACAAAATCCATTGAAGTTGAAAAGTGTCCCCAGATTCATTGAAAAAAATCTGGTAACCTTAATCTAGCTTAGTATTAATGGGTAATGGCTCTCATGGGATTCAAAACAGGGTTTTGTGTGAGAGCCAGTGTGGTGTAGTGATTAAGAGCGGTAGTCACGTAATCTGGGGAACCGGGTTCGCGTCTCCGCTCCTCCACCTGCAGCTGCTGGGTGACCTTGGGCTAGTCACACTTCCTTGAAGTCTCACAGCCCCACTCACCTCACAGAGTGTTTGTTGTGGGGGAGGAAGGGAAAGGAGAATGTTAGCCGCTTTGAGACTCCTTAAAGGGAGTGAAAGGCGGGATATCAAATCCAAACTCCTCCTCTTCTTCTTCTTCTTCTTCTTCTTCTTCTTCTTCTTCTTCTCTGCCACCCCTCCCCAAAGATGGCAGGGATTCAATCTCTGCCTTTCTGAATGCAAGGCAGATGCTCTACCACTGAGTTTTGGTACCATGTTTGGGTTTTGACAATTCATAGAATCATACAATCATAGAGTTGGAAGAGACCACAAGGGCCATCGAGTCCAACCCCCTGCCAAGCAGGAAACACCATCAGAGCACTAAATCCACTAAGCAGAGCACTAATTCCACTAAGCAGAATGACATACCCCATGGTCTTCAAACCTGAGACCTTGGCAAGCTGCTGATAGTTGACATAGACTGGCAGTCTGCACATCACCATTTATTCTGGCTCCTGTGCACTCCCACTGCTGGTGTTTGAAGCCGAGCGCACGTGATGTTAGCCACAATCCATCTGTATCCTGTAGTTTCTTGAAAAACCCTACTTTCCCTCAAACCAGTTTCCATGCAGTGGAGGCTGTTCCATTGGGGCTAATGGGACAGTGCCCTACTAACCTCAGTCTGCCCTTAGCCACCAGCCTTCCTTCTTACGTATAAGCAGTGCAGGGTTTGGTCCTGTCTGTCAGTGTTCTACTCCTCCTAATTCTCAGCGTTGCCCTTGTAGAACTCAGCGGGGAAGAGGATGAAGATGAAACTAGAATCACTTGGCACTAAGTGTCATCAGCTCAAGCGCCATCTACTCTTGGGCTCCCTGCCTTCTGCCCTGCCAGTTCCAATGGGCACCAGACACCACTTATTCCACCCTATTAGAAAATGTAAAGTGTGAGTAAGATGGAATGCAGATTGTAGACATCTGTTGCTCATGTGCAAATGACAGCAGATGTACAGGTGATGACTTTGTTGAGTAGGAGATGCAGGGGAATGCAGGAGCAGGGAAACAAACCAGGTAATGGTGTGAAACTTGACTTGAAATGCAGGTGGGGGAAGCAACCTCGCTGCCATTTAGGCTGTTAATGTGTACATTTCCATAATATGGCCTGCTATAATGTAGCTTCTTCCTAGCCATGTGCACTGTGATCTACTGATAACTACTGGCTAGCTCAGGCATAGACATCTTGGCCCTCCAGATGTTTTGGGACTACAACTCCCTTCATCCCTGACCACTGGTCCTGTTAGCTAGGGATCATGGGAGTTGTAATCCCAAAACATCTGGAGGGCCGAGTTTGCCTATGCCTGGGCTAGCTATTCCATAATAATCTGGCTCACCTCACTGTCTTCAAATATATCATCTGGGCTGTTTTGCTGATGGACGTTCCTCACCTTCTTTGCTATGCAGTTCATTTTTTCCTTGATTTTCTTTTCATTGCAGGGAGTTGTGGTTCACCAACATCTGGGGAGCTACAGGTTCCCCATCCCTGGTGCTGAGAATACTGAGCTAGATAGACCCAACAGTCTGGCATAAAACAGCTTCCTATGTAATCAAGGATTGTAATAATATAATAAATGGATCAGGCTCATTGCCCATCTAGTCAAGCATCCTGTTCTCACAGTGGCCAATCAGATCAATATCCCCTACGTATGTAGCTGTTTCTTTGCAACTACAAAGGTCAGAAATCTTATAGCTATATTACTACTACTACTCATTTTAACAATGCTGAGCAAAACCTGACTCATATCATTTTGAGTAATGCCTTTCTCCTTGTCACTGCCTGGATGACTAGATTAGCTGCCTAGCTAGCTCCTGTTGAAGCCCTATTTACCCTGTTTTACCTTCTTCTGGCTTCTCATCACTTTTTATGTTTGCTAAGTCAAGCCACCAAAACATTCTTTTTATGTTTCTCTCCCTCCATGCTTAGCTGAAGAAGATCAGCTAATCTTATGTAACCAAATTAGCATCTTGTTTTCTCAGTACACCCTCCTCTCCTCCGAAGGCAGCTGGCCCTTGAGTCATTTCCATTTTAGGACCGGCTTGCTGGAGGTGTTTGGTGCTCGAGGCAGAATGATCCTGGCCTTTTCTTAAAAGGAGTTAACAGCACATACCTTAAGGAGGTGGGAACCTCCTTCCATTTAATATCTACGACGTTGGGGCTACTGCAGAACTGAATGAAGCCATTTATGGAAATGCGTTACTAGGAGGGGGAAATGTCCACATCACTTCTTCTAATAGAGAGCTTAGGTGGTGCATGCCAACAGAATTGGAAACAAAATGGGGCCATAGATGGCGCCATGGAGAAAGAAGATCAGCAGCTTACTGGGGTTCCTTATTATTGTAATTTTGTTTTGTTTTGTTGACTTGACACCTATAGCATCCTGGTTGAGGGAATGGCTGGCTGGAATCATGAACAGGAACATTCTTGTTGTGGGGTGAGGAAACTAGTGGGGCCTATGACAATGTGTCACAGCATAAGTCCCCTTATTGCAAAGTTTTGAAATGCAATGTGTAAGATGCCAGGGTTATGATCTGTTCAAGACCTCTTAGAAATGGTCGATAAGAAAAAATAATTTGCTGAACTTCACATTGTACTGTTGCCTTAATTATGGTATTTATTGATTTGGGGCTATTACTGCTTGGCTTTTGTATGCCTAGGGCACACAAAGTTATAAGGGGGGGTACACACACAAAAGAAAAGAAAGAAATCTCAGTTAAGCTGTGAATGTGTACAGCCTCCCACTACATGATATAATAGAATTAACTGGTAAAAGTTATAATAAACCATAATTCTATAAGCAAACCACTTAGATATCTCCCTAGAAAGCACTTTGCGAAAATATGTTGTGTAGACCTGCACAGTATGTTTCTCCATTCTTGGAAATGACTTAATAGATTTGAACAAACACCAGAAAATAAAAAACCCTCTCAGTCTTTTTTTTTTTTTTTAATGTTCTCGCTGGCTGAGCTCATTCTATCTTGAGTGGGGTGGGGCATGGGGAGGAAATTTGGACAGATAAATGGAGCAGAAAGGGCACTCATGTGCATGGCAGGGGGCTCAGACATGTTCTGCTTAGCTGACCTGTCTGATGCACTTCTGGCACTGCAGGGCAGGTGCAGCAGTGCAGGGGCTACTTGGGTTCAGGAGAAGGCAATGACTGGTTTGGTGGACTAGGTGTCAGGAGCTTGGTATCTTCGGCCAGTGGTACTCAGCCAGCTCATCCTGGCTTCAATCTTGGAAGACATGACAGCCCTCCTTCCCCTCCTCCTCCTCCTCCTCCTCCTCCTCCTCCTATTTTGGCGATCACTCATATCTGAGTAAGATTGTCTTCCATAAACATGGTTTTAACAGTGAGTCCAGTGGAGATCAACAGTGAGTGACTGCGGAGACCAATTCTGGATCCACATGTCCTTCCACTGTGGGGACATAGGTTTCTGAGCGGGAGTTGATCACGGTGAGGGTTTGCCAAGCATGCCTTCCTCTTAGCACGTTTCTCCCTTTCGTCCTGAGTTTGAGTGTCTTCAAAGTCCATGACACCTTTAATAAAGGCTGTTCTCCAACTGGAGCATGCACAGGCCAGTGTTTCCCAGTTGTCAGTGTTTATACTACATTTGTTTAGATTTGCCTTAAGAGGGTCTTTAAACCTCTTTCATTGACCACCAGCATTACACTTTCCATTTTTAAGTTTGGAATAGAGTAGTTGCTTTGGAAGGGGATAGTCAAGCATCTGAACAACATGACCATTATTGACCAATCCAACGAAGTTGATGTTGAAGAATCCTTTATGTTATATCAAACACAACGTGCAGTTTAGAAAATCTGAAGTGTTGATTTTTAGACCCAGCCATGCAATTGGCTACCGTTCTTCTTAGGTGTTAAGATTGGCAGAGAGGGCCCAACTGGTTGTTCTACCATCCTCAGAAGCTCAGGTGGTGTTGGCCTGGGAGAGGGAGTTCTCTGTGGCAGCCCCTAAGTTGTGGAACTCCCTCGCCATAGTGGTGTATCTGGCATCCACGTTATACTGATGGATCACGCCATCTAATCCAGAAGCCCACTCTCAGGGGTGGCCAACCAGATGCCTACAGGAAGCCTGCAAATGGAACCTGAGTGCAACAGCATTTTCCTGACTCCTGTCTCCCAGCAACTGTGAGTCAACAGTGTGGAGCCAACGGACCACTCCTGCCGCTGCGTTTGTACAGCACTGATATCCCCACTGTCTCACTAAGCAGCAATGACTCTGCTGCCAGGTGGTCAGGTAAGCACCATCCATCCATCCATGGCTGCTCTGCAGTACAGTGGTACCTCGGGTTACAGACGCTTCAAGTTACAGACGTGTCAGGTTACAGACTCCACTAACCCAGAAATAGTACGTCAGGTTAAGAAATTTGCTTCAGGATGAGAACAGAAATCGCGCGGCAGCAGCGGCGGGAGGCCCCATTAGCTAAAGTGGTGCCTCAGGTTAAGAACAGTTTAACATTTGTTAAAAAACCTGAAGCATTTTTATTAGGGATTGTAGGGAAAGACCTGCCAAAAAAGCTGAAAAACATCTTCATGTATGCGACAACGGCTGCAAGAGTTTTAATAGCACAAGGATGGAAGACAGAAGAAACCCCAACTAAAGAATCATGGCAAGAAAAATTGATGGACTATGCAGAACTGGCAAAACTGCCATACAAGCTATGGGACAAGGATAACTGTGACTTTAAAGATGAATGGGAACCCTTTACAAAGTATTTGAAGACACAACAAAGCGAACTGGACTCCTTGGCTGGTTTTGAATAAACATTCACAAACTTTTTATTGATAATAATCAGCTAAATAGTTTGAGGATCTATACAACTGTGTAACATGCAGAAAACAGCATTTTTAGAGAAATCAAAGACTGGAACTGAGGGAAGTCGGGGGGTGGGCTCTGTGTGGGAGGGGGGAGGAAAAATGGGGGGGAATAAGGATGATATGTTTCTGGATAATATGTTTTGTTTTAATTTTGAATAAAAAAGTTTTTAAAAAAAAGAAAAGAAAAAAAGAACAGTTTCAGGTTAAGAACAGACCTCCAGAACGAATTAAGTTCTTAACCCAAGGTACCACTGAATATAAAGCCAGTGCACATACCCTAGCTCAGTGTAACATCTGGCAACATCTGTCCTCCAGCCTAGGGATGTGTGAATCTGTCACTTTCCGTTCCTGTCAGTTTCTCACTGTTCCAGCGTTAAACCCAGTTCTCCACATTTCCACATCACTTTGCATCTTTTATCTTTAGGAAAATCCTCATGAAAATTCATTGGCCTTTTGGTGCAAACTTCTCCTGGTGTACACATTTTTACAATGCCACTTTCCCAGATATAATGCATTTTTCCCTGTGAACATATGCATCTTCATGCACACTTTATCTTCTCGTGTATGCATTCTTGCCTAAAATACTCGGCTGGTGAACAACTTTGGGGGGGGGGGGAACGGAAAAAGGAAAATCCCAAAGGATAGCGGTACTTCCATTCCTGAACTGTCTTGGAAAGTGCAAAATTGAGTCAATTTCCTCTTCAAGTGAAAACTATTTTGAATTTCCAGTACGATGGGAATTGCTCAAAACAATAAACCAGGGCAAATAACACAACCATCTATCTGTTCGGTTCTTATTTTGCAGCCTCAAGTTACAGCAACTCGCTACTCCCCAAGGAAAGCAAGGGCGTTGCTGGAGCACCGCGAACAGATCTGTAGTCATCTTAAGATGACATACACAACTGGCATCAGAGAGGTGGTGAGGCTTTTTTCCAGTTTGAAATCAAACAAGTAAGATCACTTCCCTCTTTGTCTGTGCTGCTGTGATGGGACTGCCAACCCCCCCCCCCCCCCCCAGGCTCAGCTGCTTGCCAACTGCCAAGAATTATAGTACGGTTTTGCAGCCCATTAAAAATAATTGGTGTATGGAGAATAGGTGAAACGGAGGGAGGAAAAATTCAAATTTGTTTGCATTTTAATGAGAAACTGCCTAACTCACATTTCTCAAACCAAAATGTGAACCAAAACACAGATACCATTTGAAACTGACACTTTTCTGAATTTTTCGATGCAGTTCTGCAACCAAATAATATGAACAAAAATGAATATTTTTTTGGGGTGGGATGTGCATAAAAGCACATATATCTGTGAAACAGTCATACAGGAATGCATTGTATTGCATGACATTGCTTGCAAAAATGTGTATCTTGATCAAAACTGCAATGCACAAATGTGTTTATTTTTGAGAAATTGTCACCAAAATGCTAACGAATTTTCATGAGGATTTTTTCCTTATAAAAATAAGCCATAAAGTGCTGCGGAAATGTCGGTAACTGAAATTAAGTTTGGAAAAATCTGAAACCTGGAGAACCAAATTGACAGATTTGTCCATCTGCAAAAGGGCATTATAGATGCATCAGGTCATTGTCAGAAAGGTGGATGCAGAGTTAGTCCAGGATCTTTCTCTTAGGATTGTTTGGGAAAATAGGATTGACATAATCATAGAATTACAGAGCTGGGAGGGAACCCAAGGTTCATCTAGTCTATGGGTAGGCAAACTAAGGCCCAGGGACTGGATCCAGCCCAATCGCCTTCTAAATCCGGCCCGTGGACGGTCTGGGAATCAGCGTGTTTTTACGTGAGTAGAATGTGTCCTTTTATTTAAAATGCATCTCTGGGTTATTTGTGGGGCATAGGAATTCGTTCATTTTTGCTTCTTCCAGATGTTTAGGCGGAATCTCCTTTCTTATACAGTGGTACCTCGGGCTAAGAACTTAATTTGTTCTGGAGGTCAGTTCTTAACCTGAGACACCACTTTAGCTAGTGAGGCCTCCCGCTGCCGCCATGTCACCACTTGATTTCTGTTCTCATCCTGAAGCAAAGTTCTTAACCCGAGGTACTATTTCTGGGTTAGCGCAGTTTGAAACCTGAAGCATCTGTAACCTGAAGCGTCTGTAACCCGAGGTACCACTGTAATTTGATGGCCACCAACTTGGATGACATTTTAAAAGGATTAGAAATATTCACAGGGATAAGACTATCAATGGCTTCTAGCCATGATAGCTATCTCTGCTGTGCCTCCACTGTCTGAAGGCATTGTGCCTGTGAATACCAGTTGCTAGGGATTGCAAGTGAGCAGAGTGCTGCTATGCTGAGGTCCAGTTTTTGAGGTTCTCACTGCTGCTTGGTTTGAGAACAGGCTGCTGGACTAGATGGGCCATTAGCTTGAGCCAGCAGGTTCATCTAATGCTCTTATGTGTTAGAACATCTCAGTAGATTTTTGATAGTTGCGGACATACAATGCCTTCCATGCATTGGCCTTCCATTGACAGAAAATGGTGTGGCTAGATTTACACCTACCGAAATCTGTATTGCCAAACACTATATTTAATGTAGCAGTTCCCTATTAAATGTGGGTTATTGTCAGGATGCTGTCAGAGGCTCCTGGCTGGTTGCCCAGGAAAGTACAAAGACAAGGAAAAGTTTCTCGGCATCCTTTTTTTATTTCAATCTTTACAGAGAAGGGCTATAGAACCCAGCTTCTTGGATAATGGCATTGTCCTGAGTGAATCTCCACCCCCCTTCCCTCCCACTTCCTCATTCGTCATCATCATCATCTCTGCTATGAGTGCTGCTACGTGCCCTTTGTCTTTGAGCTCTTTGCTCTCCTACTTTTAAGGCTCACCAGGTTCTGGGAGATGGAGGATCTGGAATGTTTTCTAATGACAACATGTCAGCTGGGTGTTGTTCTGGCTCTCCTATGATTTCCCAGCTTTCCCCCTCATCTGCCTCTGAGCTGTGACCACCCGCAAACCACTGTTGTAAATCTAGACTGTTTTCCTCTTCCTCCTCCCTGGAAGGGTCAGGATGGGGAAGCAGTCTCCACCATTCCTCCTCTGCCCAGTCCCTGACTTTTGCCTTTGTTGTAAGGAGTCAACAGATACAGAGATGGGATCACTGGCACCTTGGAAGTGGAGGTCTTCGCCATTCACTACTCCACACTGGGCTAGCTGGATTCTTAACATGGGCCTAACCCTAAAGGGGATATTGAAATGCAGCCAGAGATCACTGGTACTTTCTGACTCAGAATTCTCTACTGCCAGGTAGATCCCTCTGATGACCTCATGGATGTTTTCTTTCACTCATCGCAATGACTCCATGATTGGGTGAGACAAGAAGCTTTAAAATATACATCAGAGTGAAAAGTCATTTTATGACTGCGATTACTGGGAATAGCTGCCAAGGCACCTCAGGTGAGAAACTTCCATAAAAACTGACACCCAGCCAACATTGCTGCAGATTGGAAAGGTGCAAAATGGCATTATAATGTCCATGATGAGATATTTTGGCTTCACATTAGGACCATAAGCCCCCAACAGCCAAATTAGATGGGACGTTAAATGTTGTGGGTGCCCAAACATGGTGTGGTATAGGAGAGGGGAAGCTTAACCCTTCTGGTCTACTATGGTCCTAGTGAAAATTGACTCTTAAATCCTCTAGAAGTCTGTGGAAGGAAGCTGCCATTGTCATCAATGGAAACTTCAGGGTGGGACGCCCTCCCACCAGATGTCAAAGAGAACAACAACTACCAAACTTTTAGAAGACATCTGAAGGCAGCCCTGTTTAGGGAAGCTTTTAATGTTTGATGCGTCACTGTATTTTAATATTTGGTTGGAAGCCACCCAGAGTGGCTGGGGAAGACCAGCCAGATGAGCGGGGTATAAATAATAAATTATTATTATTATTATTATTATTATTATTATTATTATTATTTATTATGGGACAATGGGGAGAAAAGTTAACCCCATCATCCCACCGGCAACTGTAGTTTGGGCAAAACAGACAAGCACACAAACAAGGCATGCTAAATACACTGAGACATTTAATGCCACATTAAATGTGACATTTGCACGCAAAGACTCACATGGCCTAATACCCAACATCTCCCTGTAGGGCAGGCCTGAAACAATAGATAGCCATTGCCAGTCAGTGTAGAAAATACTGAGCTAGATACAACATTAGTTCAATTTCATCAAATGAAACTTGCTCGGCTCTCTATTTTCCTCTCTGTGCCAGGACCTAGCTGAATCTCGCCTCTCTTGACATCAATAACCTGAAAGAATGACATTTCACTGCACACCTACACCATTCGTGGCCCATTTATGAGAGTCTAGCCTCCAAGCATTGTTGGCCTGCCATAGGTTTGATACACCTCTCTGTTTTTGCAGTTACTTTCCCCATTTCTGTTTTTTTTTTTTTTAAATAATTTTTATTAAGGTTTTAAACAAAGAAAAAAGAAAAACAACACACACAAAGAACAATAACAATAAAAACAGAAAACATAACAATTAAAAACAAACTCTCTTTTCCATTTCCAATTTTAAATTACTTATTTTCTGGACTTCCTCATACCTCCCTCTTTTGTATTCCAATCCACATTATTTATCCAGCAGTTTCTTTTCCACTTTTTTTAATCCCCATCTTTAATTTAATAAAATATTAAAATATATAACTTCACTTTTTTAAACCTAATCCTTACTCTTAATGTCATATAGCTTCAAATTTTTCCCTTTTATTATCAAATTTCCATTTCTTTAAACATCTTTAATCTTAATCTTTAATCTTAATCTATCCTTATCTTTAACCTGTACAACTGGAAACCACTTATTTTCAGTCCAACATCACTCTAACATTCCTTAATTTTGCAGTGTTTCTGAAGATAGTCTTTGAATTTCTTCCAGTCTTCCTCCATCGACTCTTCTCCCTGGTCACGGATTCTGCCAGTCATTTCCGCCAATTCCATGTAGTCCATAAGTTTCATCTGCCATTCCTCCAGCGTGGGAAGTTCTTGTGTCTTCCAATACTTTGCGATGAGTATTCTTGCTGCTGTAGTTGCATACATAAAGAAAGTTCTATCTTTTTTTAACACCATTTGGCCCACCATGCCCAGGAGAAAGGCCTCTGGTTTCTTGGGAAAGGTATACTTAAATACCTTTTTTAATTCATTATATATCATTTCCCAGAAAACCTTAATCTTTGGGCACGTCCACCAAAGGTGAAAAAATGTACCTTCAGTTTCTTTACATTTCCAACATTTGTTATCGGGCAAGTGATAAATTTTCGCAAGCTTGACTGGGGTTATGTACCACCTGTATATCATTTTCATAATATTCTCTCTTAAGGCATTACATGCCGTAAATTTCATACCAGTGGTCCATAACTGTTCCCAGTCAGCAAACATAATGTTGTGTCCTACGTCCTGTGCCCATTTAATCATAGCCGATTTTACCGTTTCATCTTGAGTATTCCATTTCAGCAGCAAGTTATACATTCTTGACAGATTCTTAGTATTGGGTTCTAACAATTCTGTTTCTAATTTCGATTTTTCCACCTGGAAGCCAATTTTCCTGTCTAATTTAAATGCCTCCATTATTTGATAATAATGAAGCCAGTCTCGCACTTTGTTTTTTAATTTTTCAAAACTCTGCAATTTCAGTCTATCTCCGTACTTTCCCCATTTCTGTGAACATGCCACACATACAGGAATCTCTCTTTATGAAATGACATGAGTTATTTCTACCAGTTTTTGGCAGCAAACATGTTTATTTTCCAAATAATTTGAGTAAGACTTTATATAGAAGTTCTGTAGCCATGGCTCCCCCCCCCCCAAGAAAACATTCTTTTGGATTTATTTCACTAACAGTACACAAGTGTTACTCAGTGGTGGCAGCATCGGGGTGATTCTGTATTATTAGTTCTTGCACCAAAGAGAGAAAAAACAGGGGAGGTGTTCTTCTCCAGCCTAAGTAGCAGCAGACTGTCCCCTGTTATCACCACTAGGAGGAGACAAAGAGGAAGAAAATGGTGCTGAAATTGGTGACCACAACAAAATCCCCATGTCAGCAGTTATTATCAGTTGTTATTTACCCTTTGTCATGAGGTCCCATGGAGGGTTACAACAATTAAAACACTATGTTGAAACCAATTTGAAACAGAATTACAGAATTAAATGAGAAGTCTGGTGAAACTCAAATGGTTTCCCAGTTTCAACAGGCTCCTCTAATTTTCTGCTTAGAGTAAAAAGGTAAGGCAATTTTATCAAGGATTCCAGTCTTGATTTCCACCTGCACTTACTTCCAAGTAATTATGCTTAAGAATTCAGCTTTTGGCTGCAAATGTATACCCAAGCCTGTTTGAATATAAGATTTAGGCCAACAACCAATTCACGCTTTTCTAGAAAAAGAGGTGCCAGAGCTCACCATGAACAGCTTCCTCGTTCTCTTAGAAAGGCAACGGGGCCCTCCAAGAAGTGTTGGAACTGAGTTCAAGTGAGTTCCAGCTGAAAAAAAGCCCTGTCCAAAACAATATGCAAACCGAAACACAGCTTTTCATTGAAATATGCACTTTTCTGAATTTTGCAACGCAATTCTCCAGCCAACTTATGCACACAAAATGCATGTACTATGAAATAGTGTGCATAAAATGAAAATATTTGTGAAAATAACATACACTGTATTAGTGAAAATTGCTTTGCAAAAAAATATGTATATTAGGATAAGATCAACAAAGATGCTGCTGATGAACTTTCATGAGGACATAAAAAGAAAAAACACAAGTTTTTAGTCTTAGGAAGTTTCTCCTAACGTTAAGCAGTTTTCCTATTAGATGTGGTCTGGAGCAACATAAAGAAAAGGGGAAGGCAGAATAGAGAGAGGTGGAAGGTAAGACGAATGTTGGCCCAGCAGAGGGCAGCGTTGCAGTGTCTACAGACTTAAAGACCACAGTGCTTTGCATCAATGTGAAGATACATGGAACGCATAAAGCTGCCTTAGACCAAGTCAAGCCATTCATCTGAAATTCACTGGATATAGCCTGTATTCAGCCCTCATAAGCAGCGTCCAGGCGGAAATCGTTGAAATGTTTGGGAAAATCCAGACGTTTGTGGCGAATGTAATGAAAAATAGCTCAGAAACTCTTTTTTTTTTTTTGAGACAAAACTCAACAACTTTGGGCAAAACTTAAACAAAAGCTCAAGAACTTTTGTGTCCGGATTTTCACCTTTTCAAATATGGCAACCCTAGTCCTTCCCCAGCCTTAGAAGCTGGGGATTGAACCCGCAACCTTTTGCAAGCAAAGCTATGAGCCTTCCCCATCCTTTTGTGATGATGACTTATCAATGCACCAAACATGCACTCCTGTGAACTGAAAAAATCACATAAATAAGCAAACTTGGAGGAATTGTAGTTCTTGTTCTCTGGCGTGCTTTTCTGGTTCTCTGATGTGGCGTGTTCCTCATTTACAGAAATGTACATCTGCACAACAAAACACTGCATAAAATGAATATGGATGCAATCATATGCAAGGTCACATTAAAAATGGGTGTGTGTGTGTTTTAGTTTAGGCCGGGGAATGGGCAGTGGTCTTATACATATATACCTACACACACACACACACACACACACACACACACACACACACACACGAAGAGGAAGAACAAGCAAATTAATGGAAATAATAGACAAACTGAACAAAGTCCAGTTCTGGAATTAGTTTTGTAAAATTCCCATAGTTGAACTGGAAACTGAGGAGGATTTCAACACAGGGAAGAGTAAACCACCAGGAAATAGAATGGGCTAAATCAGGCATAAACAAACTCGGCCTTCCAGATGTTTTGGGACTACAACTCCCATCATCCCTAGCTAACAGGACCAGTGGTCAGAGTTGCAGTCCCAAAACATCTGGAGGGCTGAGTTTGCCCATGACTGGGCTAAATTCATACAACCTTACAAAGAAGCACCTCTCTAATTGGTGAAGGGCTGTAGCTCAGTGGTTAAACATTTGCTTTGCATGCAGAAGGTCCATGGTCTAATCCCTAATATCTCCAGGTAGAGCTGGAAGAGAACTTTGCTTGGAACTTCAGAGACAATACTGAGCTAGGCAGACCAGTATGCAGTGCCAGATTTACGTATAAGCTAAACAAGCTATAGCTTAGGGTCCCACTCTCTTGGGGCCCCCCAAAAAAGTTAAAGGGGGAAAAAATTGGATGTACATTTCCAAAATATAAGATAAAAATAAAATAAAATAAAATAAAACCTACATACAGCAAAAGTTTTCTGTGTTGTGTAGCCTCCTATGAGGAACGGCTAAGGGAGCTGGGCATGTTTAGCCTGGAGAAGAGGAGGTTAAGGGGTGATATGATAGCCATGTTCAAATATATAAAAGGATGTCACATAGAGGAGGGAGAAAGGTTGTTTTCTGCTGCTCCAGAGAAGCGGACACGGAGCAATGGATCCAAACTACAAGAAAGAAGATTCCACCTAAACATTAGGAAGAACTTCCTGACAGTAAGAGCTGTTCGACAGTGGAATTTGCTGCCAAGGAGTGTGGTGGAGTCTCCTTCTTTGGAGGTCTTTAAGCAGAGGCTTGACAACCATATGTCAGGAGTGCTCTGATGGTGTTTCCTGCTTGGCAGGGGGTTGGACTCGATGGCCCTTGTGGTCTCTTCCAACTCTATGATTCTATGATTCTATGATTCTAGGTAAGTAATGGGCCCCGCCTACTAGACTGCTCCATAAAATATCACTGGTTTGCTCATTTCTATATATAGAGTGCCTACATTCTGCATGGACTGGTTGCATGGCCACATGTAGCATGCAGCTGCAGACCTGGTATCTAATATTAAAAAGTGCTTTAGGTTTGCTATATGGTAATTTATGGACCTAATAGGTATCTAAAGCCATTACAGTATAGCATATATTCAACACAAAAAACCAGCAACAATTTGTTGTTGACAAAGGACAGCTGGACATATAAAGGGCCCCATTACCTTCAGTAGCTTAGGGCCTCATCAAATCCAGCCCTGCCAGTATGGTCCTAACTGTAACCCAGAAAAGCACAATCCTCCCTTCTGCTCCTGATGTTCAAGATGTGTGTGCTGCTGCTTATGTAGCCAAATTTTCCTCCCATCTATGCACAAGAGGGAGGTATCAGCAGGCTTCAAGGAACTCCAAGGTTCTCAGAAATATACAAGTTTGCTAGGGGGCGGGGAAATCTAAAGGGAGGAAACTGCCCCCCTCAAACCTGTGGTTAGGCTGCAAATTCTTTAAGCACCCTTGACACACCTCACACACAGGCAGCATCCTATAGCATTTCCAACAAAATCAAATCTCTTAGCAAAGCCCAAAGGGGCTAATTTAAAATATTAGTACAGAAGAGTGGTGTGAAGGCCTCCCTGAGAAGCTTACAGATAAGTTAAGAGGAATACAACCAAAGGACACTTTGGCCAACGGATGGTGGAATTCTGTCATCTTTAGAAGCACAGAAGTGTACAGTGGTGCCTCGCAAGACGAAATTAATTCGTTCCGCGAGTTTTTTCGTCTAGTGAATTTTTCGTCTTGCGAAGCACGAAATCCCATAGGAATGCATTGAAATTCAATTAATGCGTTCCTATGGTCAAACAAAGTCCAAACAAAGCCAAATTTGGTACAACAAGAGTTTATTAAGTGCTCTTTAAAGTCACACATACTGTAAAGAGCATTTCAAAAATTGAAGGAACAATAAATTAAGTTTCTAAACATGACAGAAAAACATTTTAAAATCAACAAAGTGTACAGTACATTTTCTAAGACTCTGGGGGACAACTCGAAGAAGGTTCCTCTTCCACTCTTTGCTTCTTGCTGAAGAACCCCTTCCTCAACTGTCCCCCCAGCCACCCACCACACAGAAATTCAAATCCAGAAATTTTTTAAAAAAACAGCAGAGTGGCCCAATGGTCACAGAAAATCATAAAAATGCAGAAAAAAACCCACAAGCTTCCAGATTCTTGCAAACCCCTCCCCAACACCAAGTCCTTGAATTCCAAACACCCCAACCCAAAATCCAAAACCCCCCAAAAAAGTTTTAAAAGTTTAACTTACCAAATGGCTGCAAAAGAAGTTTTGGAAAAGCTTCAAAAATCACCAAAGTCTTCAAAAACCTCAAAAAAGGCTACCACACCGCATGCTATGAGTTGCTCCTCGAAGTCAAGTCGCAACTGCACCTCTTCAAGCAATGCACCCTGTATTACTGTAACGGTTTTAAGAAAAAGGAAACAAACTTGCAAGACGTTTCCGTCTTGCGAAGCAAGCCCATAGGGAAATTTGTCTTGCGAAGCAGCTCAAAAAACGCAAAACCCTTTCGTCTAGCGAGTTTTTCGTCTTGCGAGGCATTCGTCTTGCGGGGCACCACTGTAATTGCAGTCCCAAGGGTTAATACTTACAGCATGGCGTAGCGGTTAGAGGATTGGGCTAGGACCTGGGAGACCCGAGTTCAAATCCCTTCTCAACCAGGAAGCTCACCTTGGGCCAGACAGTGTCTCTCAGCCTGACCTACCTCACAGGGTTGTTGTGGGCTTATGAGCAGGGGGAGAACCGTTTACACCAGCTTCAGCTCCTTGGAGGAGAGGTTGGGATAAAATGTAATAAATAAGGGGAAGGGGATATACAGCGGTACCTCAGGTTACATACGCTTCAGGTTACATATGCTTCAGGTTACAGACTCCGCTAACCCAGAAATAGTGCTTCAGGTTAAGAACTTTGCTTCAGGATGAGAACAGAAATTGTGGTCCGGCGGCGCGGTGGCAGCAGGAGGCCCCATTAGCTAAAGTGGTGCTTCAGGTTAAGAACAGTTTCAGGTTAAGTACGGACCTCCGAAACGAATTAAGTACTTAACCTGAGGTACCACTGTAGCAGGTTTGGGGAACCTTTGGCCCTCCAGATGTTGCTGAACTACAGCTCGCACCATGCCTTCCCATTGGCCATGTTTGCAGGGCATGATGGGAGCTGTAGTTCAGCAAATAATGAATGGCCAAAGGTTCCGCACACATGGCCTAGAGAAAGGAGTTTCTGGCCGGAGTCCCTTATCATCTAGGGTTCAGTCTCCTCATGATAATAATGTAGGGAAAATGATTCACAACTCACCCAACAGCACAGAGCACCTCTGGGTTAAGCTACATCCTTGAAACAGAAAAAAGCAGAGGCACAGGCACACCCATTTGTGCAACAAGTCCCTCAATGATCCCCTCTCCGCCCTTTGGGCACACAGGAACAAAATTGGTGATTTATGACCAGGAAGGAAATGGGGAAATTCCCATAGATTTCCACCCTGGCCTAGGAATTAGCCACTGTGAATTTCTTGCTCTGTAATATATGATTCTTGGCCCGAGCTCTCTTGCAGGGATTTCTAGAGCAAAGGAACAAAGGCTGTGACATGAGTCTCTCCTTGTTTAGCTGCACAAAAAGATATGCAATACTGCTGTGCATCAAGGAAAAGGTAGAGAGCAAGGCAGTTCTCCAGCAAAATGATGCGTCCGAAATGCATATGCCAAGATGAAGTGTGCACACTTTAATGCTGAGAGTGTACAAAAATACATTATATTACGGGAAACTGCTTTGCAACAATGTTTATATTTGGGGGAAAATGACACAAAAATGTCTATATAAATTAAAATGCTGATTAATCTTCACAAGGACTACTTTTTAAAGTTGCAAATTGCTGTTGAAATGACCATAGGATTGGGAAATTGAGAGAAACTGAAATGGACAGATTAACCCATCCCTAATTAAGCAGTACAGTGGTACCTCTGGTTAAGAACTTAATTCGTTCCAGAAGTCCGTTCTTAACCTGAAACTGTTCTTAACCTGAAGCACCACTTTAGCTAATGGGGCCTCCTGCTGCCGCTGCACCGCCGGAGCACAATTTCTGTTTTCATCCTGAAGCAAAGTTCTTAATGTGAGGTACTATTTCTGGGTTAGCGGAGTCTGTAACCTGAAGCGTATGTAACCTGAAGCGTATGTAACCCGAGGTACCACTGTATATACATCTTGTTAAATAAATAACAAAGAAGAAGTCCTACTGTCTTATCCAGTTTGATCAGTGGTGGCTGGTGCCAATTGGGACTGGTAGGTTGAAAGGAACAGCTGATGGAGCAATGATAGGCAGAGCTAAGTAAGTTTAGTTTTGCCGGTATCCTCTTCCCTGCTGAGTTCTACAAGGGCAACGCAGATAGTCTCCTCCTCATACTGTCAGTAAGGTGGCAGGCAGAGGGTGGCAGGCTGAGGTTGGTGGGGCAACACCTGATTTGCCCCACTGCACCAGTCTCCACAGGGACGTGGGTGGCACTGTGGGTTAAACCACAGAACCTAGGACTTGCCGATCAGAAGGTCGGCGGTTTGAATCCCCATGATGGGGTGAGCTTCCGT